TCTTGTACATAGGGTCGCTATGAGTCGCAAACAACTCGATGGCACATAACAACAACAATTGATCTATGCTCACTGTTACCCTGTCATTTCAAGTCCCCATGTGATCTTTCCTAATCCCTTCATCTCCAACCTCCCCTCACCAAACTCTCCAACGCTGTGAGTCTCCCTCTCCCTACCCTCAGGACCCTCAGGTCTCCTCTACCCTCCTCTTCTCCCTTTGAGAAAATGTCATTTTAAAATAATGAACAGATATAAAGTTTTGTTGAATACTTTGCTGTATTGCTTGGGATGATCATAAAGCTATTTTTTTTTCTTTTCTGCATTATAGCTTTCAAACCAGAGAAGTTCATCCCAGTCAATTTGGCGACCTTAGCTATCATGGTCCCCAAGGACATGGATTGACACAGTGGCTACAGCAATGAGCTTGAACATAGTAGAGGTTGTGAGGATGGTGTTGACCTGGCAGCATTTCCTTCTGCTGCACACAGAGTCATTAGGAGTCAGCACTGCCTCTGACACTTGACAATAATGACAGCGAGACCTCATTCCGCCACCCACAGATAACAGGCAGCAATTTTGCAAAGCAGGCACTGGTGTAGTGTAGCCAATTTACAAATGAGCGGAGACTAGAAGTAGTAAATTGTCATATCTTGGAAAATGGTAGAGTGGCATTCTAGATCTCTGGTCACAATTCCTGTGCTCACAAATGCTGTTTGGCTCTCCACAGTAGAGAAGTGAGAGATCTGAGTCCCTCCTCACCAATGGCACACTTCTTCCTTTCTATGGCTCCTGGGTTCGCATTTATAAGCATCTCTTAATCTGACCCCACCCTCCCTTTAATTCATTAGCAGTTCTGAAGCTGAGGATTATTACAGCCCTCTGACTCTACTTCTAGACTCTTCTAGAGCTGTGTTTTCCTGTCATTGCTGTGGCGTTTATGTTTTGTTTTGTTTTGAGGTGTGTGTGTGTGTTTGTGTGTGTGTAAGGGGTGGACGAATACTGAGTTTTTCTCCAAACAGGGAGGGAGAGCAGAGATTGGGGTGCTGATTCTATCTCTTTTTGCACCAGGCTTACCACTGACATGGGCCAACATTTGCTGCTGCCTAGTCTGCTCTTGTTCCTTCCTCTGGCCACAGCCTGGACTATGTTCAACTGCCTCATGATCGAAGGCTCTCGACTGCATCTGGCCTCAAGGTACTTTTCGTTGTGCCACTTGAACTCTAGCCTTCACTTCTTAGCCTGGTGCCATTCAGTGACCAACCTGACACAAACTTTGGAAGCTGTACCACAGAGCGTGGATGGGCTCTGTCTGTCTGGTTCTATACCTGTCCTACCCCCGGATGCCTTTTCCAAATTGCCTGGACTCAAAGCTCTAACGCTGATTCTACGAGTTATTCGGCTTCTGCCAGGAGCCCTTCGGGGTTTGAAACAGCTGAAGAAGCTAACTTTCTTCGACTACCCTCAGTCACAGCCTTTTCTCTATCTACCACCTGATGCCTTTGACAACCTGAGCTCTCTTCAGTACCTTTTATTCTTAGGTCCCTGCCTGAATAGGAGCTTGGGTGTCCGGTTGCCTCCCAGCCTACGACTTCTGGCTGTGAAGTACAGCTGCCTGCAGAATGTAGGTATACTGGCTGACATTTTCCCAGACTTGGTGCTGAACTCCTCCTCTGGGGGTGCTCGGTACCTGGACTCATTGGATTTGTCAGCTAATCCCAAGCTGAACATGACCAGGCCTGGGGCTCTCCAGGGTCTGCAGCTGAAGTCTCTGGATCTGAGTGGAACAAAGATGCAGGTGGCTGCTGTGATGGGACTGGGGCTGCAAAGACTGGATGCCCTGACTATGAAGGGCACTCCTAACAAGGATACACTACCTACTGAGGTAATTGCTCACTTTGGGCTGCAAGTGCTGCATTTGGGATGCCATCAGAGAGAGCATATATCTTCCGAGGATCTGGCTTCCTGCCACAGCCTGAAGACTTTGGATCTTAAGAGCTGTCGTCTGACTAACCTGCCACCGGGATTCCTGGCCTCCATGCCCAGACTTCAGACCCTGAGCCTGACAATTAACCAATCGCAGATTGCCATGCTATGTATGAAAGCGACAAGTGCTGACTCCAGACTTCAGGCCCTGAATCTGGCTAGCAATAACCTGTATGACTTGCCCCTAGATACCTTTTCCTGTTTGCCCCACCTTCGGGAGCTGGTTCTTTGGAGAAACAAGTTGGTTCACCTGGACAGCAAGGTGTTCCAGGGTCTGAGCAGTCTGGAGACGTTGGACTTGAGCGATAATCTGCTGGCAGCCCTGGATGAGGGCTGGCTGGCTTTATTGCCTACACTGACCACCCTAAACCTGCTAAACACACAAATGGAATTAAACTCAACCTGGGACTTCCAGGTCTCAGAGACACTACACAACTTGAGACTATTGCTCCCCCCAGGGCCTCCCAGGACGTTATCCCTACCTATGGGGCTGGCTAGCTTGGAGCTTCATGCAAATTCAGACACGGAGCCTTGGACACTTGTTCCTACTGTCCTTCCAGTCTTACAGACCCTGACTCTAAAAGGCTGGTCACTGCAGCTGGAGGCTCAAAACGTCTCAAAGAACTTCCCTGCTCTTTCCCAACTTTCCTTGCTTGGCATTAACTTGGAGGCCCTCTGCTCAAAGGACGCCTCCAGCTTCTTTCTCTGGCAGCTCCCTGAGCTCAAGCAGCTGAGCATATTGGGAGACAGGCGCAGCCTCAGGCCCTGCCGCATCACAGGGCTGCTCAATCTACGGGAGCTGAAGCTGCAGCGCCTGCAGTCGCCATTCCGGCCCCGCCCAGTGAGACTTGAGGAGCTGGTGGGTGAGCTTCCCAGGCTCGAGGTGCTGCAACTGGTGGACACAGGGGTGGAGACACTGTCTGTGGTGGCTTTCCTGGGCCTAGGCAGTCTCCAGGTCTTAGTGCTGGACTATGAGAAAGTCCTTGTGCTGGATAGCAGTCTTCAGGAGCACAGCCCCCAAATGCCCCAGTACATTTACCTATTGGTCGGCTCCTTAGCCTGTCAGTGTGCCAATGTCTGGGTGGAACCCTGGATCAAACAATCTCCTAGAACATATATGCATATTGGATCAGTCCAGCAGTGCCAGCAAGAAGGGAAGGGTCGCAAGCCTCTCCTGACCCCCTTTCTCCAAAGCCACTGCCCTAAAGCCTTGGGGTTAGAGCTCTTTATAGGTAGCTTTGTCTTGCTGCTTCTCATGATCTCCTTGCCCTTCCTAAAGGAAGCCAGAAACTGGATCCTCTATCTCCAAGCCTTGTTCAGGATTTGGCTCCAGGGGCAGAGGGGTCAGAGAAATGAGGACAACAGGTTCCTCTATGATGTGTTTGTGTCTCACTGCAGGCAAGATCAGGGTTGGGTGATGCAGGAGCTGCTTCCCACTCTGGAGGGCTGCCCTCCGGCTGGCTGGGGTCTGCGCGTTTGTCTCCCAGAGCGGGACTTTGAGCCTGGCAAGGATGTGGCAGACAATGTGGCAGACAGCATGGTGGGCAGCCGGGTCACACTTTGTGTGCTGAGCCGACAAGCCCTCTGCACACCTCGCTGCTCTGTAGAGCTCCACCTGGCCACCTCCCTCTTGCTGACTGCCCCCTACCCACCGGTGTTGCTGCTGGTCTTCCTGGAGCCGATCTCTCGCTACCATCTTCCTCGCTACCATAGACTAGCCAGGCTGCTCCGCCGGGGAGACTATCACGTGTGGCAGCAGGAAGACAAAAGAAAGGACTATTTCAGGGCATGGTTGGGAAGCAGGCTGGGGCAGCCTGGTCGTGGGATAGTAGGTGCATGTGTGTTGGAAGGTGGAGGGAGATAAAAACCAGCCACCCTGGCAGGGAACTAGTAGGTATATGTGGAGGTGAGTAACACCAAACTCATCTCCCCGTAGAAGGTGGGGTGCTACGTGTCCTCTCTCCCCACCATGACCAAGTTACCCAAGAAGTAAATTTCAATGAGAAATTTACTTGCGCCTTCAGAGCATGAGCCATTGTAATCACTGCTATATACGAGTCCACCACTATTCATAATGACCCCATGGGCAACAGAGCTGACCCTTGCCCTATCCTGTGCCATCCTCTCAATGTGTGCCCTGCTGAGGACCACTGCTGCAGTCAGTCCCTGACCCATCTTCTTGACTGTCTTCCCCTCTTTCAATGACTCTCTACTTTGCCCAGTATGATGTCCTTGTACAAGGATTAGCCCCTCCTAACATCATTCCAATAGTGTCTGAGACACTTTCCCCATTCTGACCTCTAAGGAGCACCCTGGTTGCACTTCCTCTAAGGGAGATTTGTTAATTCTTTCAGCAAGCTATAGGCTATTCCATACTCTTCCCCGTTATCACAATTCACAGGCACTGTTTCTTCTCTGGTCTTCTTTATTCATTGTTCAACTTTCAGTTGCATATAAGACAGTTAATACCACGGCTGGGGCTCAGATCCACTTGAGTCTGTAAACTGATATCTTTTCTCTTTATCACTTCTAAGAGGTCCTTGACACCAGATTTGCCAGTGTACTGTGGTTTTTTATCTCTTGACTACTGCTACCAGAGGATGTTGATTAGGATCCCAAGTGAAAGAAAATCATTTGACAACTTTAATCTTGTCTTCATCTGTCATGATGTTGTCTATTGGTGCAGTGACAAGGATTCTTGTTTTCTCAATGTTGAGATGTAATTAATATTGAAAGCTGTAGTCTCCTGATGCCAAATTCTTCTTGAAATAGTACAGTTTCTTAAATTATTTGGTCTGCATACAGATTAAATAGGAGTAGAGAAAGGATACAACATCAACACACACCTTTCTTGATTCTAAACCTGCAGTATTCCTTAAAACTACCTACTAAGGCCTTCCCAAAATTTGAGTTCTCAACATTTTACCTTCGCTGCTCATACTGAAACAAATAAAGACATGTTCACATCTATCATCTTTCTAGATCCTCACAGCAACACTGGAAGAGAAAGCCTCCTTTTCTCTCACTTTGTACTCTAACATAAATATACCATGCTTTCTTACCTTGAGATCTCTGCATGTATGTGCTTCTCCTTCTCCTAAGAACATCATTTCCTGAGGAAGTCCATTGCACCCTTTACAATTCAGTTCTGTTATCACCCCCCCCCAAAAAAAAACCCCTCCCCTGATCTCCTAGCCTAAGTAAGTTACTTCTCTGGGCTTTTACAATGTGCTGACTTTTCTTTCTTAAAGTACTAATTACATTGTACCATTGCTTCCATAGGTCTGGGAGCCTGTAGAGCGATGGTTTCCAAAGCAGAGTACACAATATAATCCACAAGATAAGTCCTAAGATAATTCCCTCTTGTTGTTGTTGTTATGTGCCATCGAGTCGCTTGTGATTCATAACGACCCTATGTACAAGAGCCCTAAATGTCGTTCTATCCTGTGCCAACCTCGCTGTCTCAAACATACTCATTCCCACCATTCCACTCACAGAATTGATCCATCTCATCGAGGGCCTTCCTCTCCTGCACTGTCCCTCCACTCTCCCAAACAAGATGTCCCTCTCCAAGGACCAGTCCCTCCTTGCAACATGCCCAAAGAACGTCAGATGAAGCTTCAGTATCCTTGACTCCAAGAAGCATTCTGGCTTCACCCTTTCCAAGACAAACCCGTTTGTTCTCCTAGCAGTCCATGGTATAGTCAGTACTCTTCTCCTGCACCACAGCTCAAAGACATCAATTATCTTTCTATCATCCCTATTTAATTGTCCAACTCTCCAATGCATAGCATGTAATTCAAAGACTATAGCCTGGATCAAGCGCACCTTAGTCTCCAGCCTGATGTCTTTGCTCTTCAGTACTCTTGAGAGGTCCCTCACAGCTGACTTTCCCAATGCAATTTGTCTCCTGATTTCCTGGATGCTGTTACCAAGAGTGTTGACTGTGGAACCAAGTAAACTAAAACTGTTAACTATCTCAATCTCTTCACCATCCATACTGATGCTGCCAATTGGCCCAGTGGTGAGAATCTTTGTTTTCTTGATGTTGAGCTTCAATCCATATTGAAGACTGCAGTCCTTGACCTTCTGCAGCAAGTGCTTCAGGTTCTACTCAGTTTCAGCAAACAGGGTTGTGTCATCTGCATAACACAGGTTGTTGATAATTATTCCACCAATCCTGATGCCACATTCCTCCTCGTACAGCCCAGCATCTCGGATGATCTGTTCTGCATACAGATTGAAAAAGTATGGAGACAAAATACATCCCTGACAGAACCCCTTCCTGATTTTGAACCATCCAGTGTCTCCCTGCTCTGTTCTGGCAACTGCCTCTTGGTCCAAGTTGATTTCACATTAGCACAATCAAATGTTCTTCTCAGAGTCAGACATAGCTTGTTGTGATCCTTCGGGAAGAAAACTGTAACTCCTGTCTTTGTATTTCACCTTATTCCAGAGCTAGCCTACCTATTTTTTAGCCATGTGTCTTTGGCATGTTCCTTAACCAATCTGTGCCTCAGTTTTTCCTCAAAGAGTCTATAAGAATGAAATGAATTAATATATATAAAGCACTGGAAAGATGATCTAATGCACTGTAAATGCTCAATTAAAGTTGCTATTTGTGTTTGTAGTTTGTAAGTAAATAAATGGATGTCTACTGGGAACATGGACTCAGACATGTTTTACTTACTGGGTTACTTGAGCAGGTATGTTTGGAGACCAAGCCTTGGGGGGCAGGGACTAAGTCTCATTTATTTTTTTTCATCCTTAGTGCCTGAGACTGATTCTATGAATCATAATCAACTTCATAGCAATAGGTTTGGTGTTTAAGGCTGACCTAGTCAAAGAGGGTCCTTACAGAAAAATGTGGACAGATAGCTTGCAAATCAAATCCTGGTGGATTCTGAATCAGAAGGAAGCAGGATATGGCTTTATATCGACACTGGGCAGGATATTGGTCTTTTTGGCGTTTAGTTTCCCTAAAATGCAAGGACATAGACCACGGGAAACGATGGAACCATTCTCGCCTGGATTTAGGGTGAGGGGCGCCCTCTTGTGTCCTATTGGCGTCCTTCTCTCTAAGCACCCTTGCTTCCATTCCTTCTCTGAAGCAGAAGATCCGGGAGTGAATGTCCTTGCCTGAGCCTGCAAAGTCACTTTTCCAGCTTCAGGTCCTGTCGTGACCCTCGATGGCTGCTTGTCCTGCTTGCAGACTTCAACACCGTACGTACATCATTACATCACTCGCAGTTTTCAAAAACTTTATGTTACACGGGAGAAGATTGCTCATATTTGTCCTGCGGAGCTGCTGGTGAATTAGAACCTCCAGAGTGGTGCCATGTTTGGATTAGCAGTATAACTCCCTATGGAATAGAGCTCCCTAAAATTAATGATTGATAATAATTATTAAGGGAGCTTTGGTGACCTAGAGGTAAGTAGCTGTGCCGCATACCTAAAGGCTTGCAATTCAAATCCACCAGCTACTCTGCGGGAGAAGGATGAGCAACTTTCTCCCATATGATTTGTTGTTGTTATGTGCTGTTGAGTTGACTGCGACTCAGAGTGTCCCAGACCACTTGTGCTCATGTAGAACCTGTATCTGGGCCAGGAGGCTGTTGTGTGAACTGAGCAGGGGAACACTGCATGGTTTAACATTGAGAAAGGAGTGCATCAGGGCTGTATTCTCTCTCCACACCTATTCAATCTTTATGCTGAGCAAATTATCTAAGACTCTAGATTCTATGAAGAGGAGTGTGGCATCACGATGCAGGGTGACTCATCAGTTAGGGACCGCTCCAAATTATTGAGGAGTAATGATGTCAGTTTGGGGACTAAGATGTGACTGATTCAGGTCATAGTCTTTCCCATCACTTGCTATGCATCTGAGAGCTGGACAATAAATAAGGATGACAGGAAAAGAATTGACACCTTTGAGCTGTGGTGTTGGAAAAGAGCACTGAATATCCATGGACGGCCAAGAGAACAAACAGATATGTCTTGGACAGGGTGCAGCCAGAGTGCTCTGTAGGGGAAAGAACGATGAGGCTTCACCTCACATACTTTGGGCATCTTGCTATTAGGGCCTATTCTTTGGAGAAGGACGTGATGCTGGGAAGGGTGGAGGGCCAGCGAAGGAGAGGATGACCCTCAACCAAGTGGACTGACACGGTGACTGCTGCAATGGCCTCTTGTGTGTCAGGAAGTGTGAGGATGGCACAGGATCAGATCTTTTGTTTGTAGGGTTGCTGTGAATTGTACTCAACTCGATGACACCTAACAACAACAACAACAACATATTGACTCTATGCACAATAGCTCTATCCTGAGCCAATCAATCTCATTGTGTCTGACACATCTACCCTTCTTACCCCAGATATTGTATCAGTCTATCTCATCCGGGGTTTTCCTCTCCCCCAATGTCCTGCCATCCTTCCAATCATGAAGTCCTTCTCAAGGACTGGTACCTTCTGGCTACATGTCCAAAGTATGTGAGACAGAACCTCAAAATCCTTGCCTCCAAAGAGCAGTTTGGTTTCACACTCTCCAGGAGAGACCTGTTAGTTTTCTTGACAGTATGTAGTATGTGCCATACTCTTCTCCAGCACTACAGTTCAAAGGCATCCTTCTTCTGTCATCCTTGGTCATCATCTAGCTCTTTGATACATAACAAGTAATTGTGGAGACGATGGCCTAGATCAGGCTCACCTTAGTCTCTGTACTTACCTCCTTGCTCTTCAGAACTCTGGAGAGGTCCTGACAGCAGCTTTTCCCTAATATAATTAATCTTTTGATTTCCTGACTGCTAGTACCAAGAGTGTCTGTCGTGGAACTGAGTAAGCTGAAACTGTTAAGAATCACAATCTCTTCTCCATCTATCATGATGCTGTCAATTGGCCCTGTGATGAGAATCTTTGTTTTCTTGATGTTGAACTTCAATCCATATTGCAGACTACTGTCCTTGACCCTCTGCAGAAAATGCTCAGACCCTCCCCA